AGAAGGGAAGACGAAGAGAGAGTGGATGAAGAGGGCAAGTGAAAAGAAGGGAGAGAGAGAGGAGGGAAGAAGAAGGGGAAGAGAGATGGGAGAGATGAGAGTTGGAAGAAGAGAGTGGAAGAGAAGTGAGAAGATGAAGTATCCGGGAGGAGAGAAGTTGGGGCAGAGAAAGAAGTGGAGAGGAGAGAGTGGGAGAGAGAGAGGGGGGAGGGAGACGAAGAGTGGAGAGAGAGATGGGATGAGAGAGGAGAAGAGAGATGGGAGAGAGGAGAATGAGGGGGGAGAGAGAAGAGTGCGAGAGAGAGAGAAGTGGAGAGAGTAGTGGGGAGAGAGAGGGTGCGATGAGAGACGTGGGGAGAGAGATGAAGGGGAAGACAGAGTGGGAGAAGAGTAGATGGGTAGAGAGAAAGTGGACGAAGAGAGTCGGAGAGAAAGTGGGAGAGAGAAGAGGGAGAGAGAAGTGGGAGAAGGAAGTGGAGAGAGAGAGTGGGAAGAGAGAGTGGAAGAGAGAGATGGGAGAGAGGAGTGGGCCACGAGAAGAAGAGCGTTGGCAGAGAGAAAGTGAGAGAGAGAGTGGGAAGAAGAGCGCGAAGAGAAGGGGGCATAGGAGAGAGTTGGGGAGAAGGAGAAGTGGAAGAGAGAGTGGAGAAGAAGAAGAGAAAGAGGATGAGGAGAGAGGAGAGGGAGAGATGAGAGGAGAGAGAAGAGAAGAGAGAGAAGAGAGAAAGACAGAGAGAAAGAGAGAGAGAGGAGAGAAGAGAGAGAGGAAAGAGAGAGAGGCAGAAGAGGGAGAGAAGAGAGAGAGAGGAAGAGAAGAGAAGAAGAGGAGGAGAGAGAGAAGAGGAAGTGAGAGAGGAGAGAAGAGAAGAGAAGAGGAGAGAGAGATGAGAACGAGAGAGAGAGAGAGAGAGAGAGAGAAGAGAAGAAAGAAAGGCAGAGAGAGAGAGAGAGAAGAGAGAGGTGAAGGGAGAGAAGAGGAAGGAGAGAGAGAGAGAAAAGGAGAATAAGAGAAGAGATGGGGGGAAGAAGAGAAGAGAAAAGAGAGACGAAGAGAAATGAAGAGGAAGACGAGAGGATGGAGGAGAGGAGGAAGAGGGAGCGTGAGAGAAGTGGAGAGAGGGCGGGCGGAGAGAAAGGGGCTTGAGAGCAGGGAGAGATGGAGGCGCGTTCTCTGTCGAGAGAGCGGAGCAGAGATATGAAGAGATGAGAGAGAGAGACGAGAGAGACGTATGAAGTAGGACTGGAGAGAGAGAAGAAGAGATGAGAGAGAGAATGAGAGAGAAGTAAGAAGAGAGAGGAATAAGGGAAGAGAGAGAGAGAAGAGAAAGAGAGAGGAGAAGATGAGAGAGAAGAGAGAGAGGAGAGAAGAGAGAGAGAAGAGAGAGAGAGAGAGGCTGTTAAGAGAGAGAGTTTTTGATCAGAAGGAGTAAGAGAGAAAGAAGAGAGAGAGAGAGAGAGAAGAGAAAGAGAGAGATCAGGACACGGAGAGAGGAAAAAGGGAGGAAGGGAGCGAGAGAGAGAGAGAGAGAAGAGACGAGAGAGAGGAGAGAGAGAGAGAGAAGGAGAGAGAGAGAGAAAGGACGAGAGAGAGAGAGGAGAGAGAGGAGCGAGAGAGGGGGAGAGAAAAGGGGAAAAGTAGGAAGAGAATGAGAGAGAGAGGAGGAGTAGAGAGAGAGGTAAGAAAGAGAAGGAAGTAGAGAGAGAGAGAAAAAGGGAGAGAGAAATGAGGGGGAGAGAGAAGAGAGGGAAAGAGAATGATGTAAGAGGGAGAGAGAGAGAGAGGCAGAGAGAGAAGAGAGGGAGAGCAAAGAGAGGTAGAGAAAGGAAAAGAGAAGAGAAGGAAAGAGAGAGAAGGAGAGGGAGGGAGAGAGAGATAGGGAGGGGAGAGGAGAGAGGGGGAGGGAGAGGGATAGAGAGAAGGGTAGAAGAGAGAAAAGAGAGTTAAAGAGAGGAGATTAAAAGGAGAGAAGAAGAGAAGTAGAGAGAGAGAGAAGAGGAGAGAGAGAGAGAGAGAGAGAAAAGAAGAGAAAGAGAGAGAAAGAGAGAGAAAGAGAAGAGAGAGAATAGAAAGAGAAGAGAGGAAGGAAAGAGAGAGAGAGAGAGAGGAGAAAGAGAGACACAGGGAAAGAGAGAGAGAGAGAGCGAGAAGAGAGGGAGAGAGGAGAGAAGAAAGAGAGAGAGAGAAGAGAGAGAGAGAGAGAGAGGAGCAGAGAGAGAGAGAAGAGAGAGAGAGGAGAGAGAGAGAGAGAAAGGAGAAAGAGAAAGAGAGAGAGATAAAGAGAGAGAGAGAAGAGAGAGAGAGAAGAGAGAGGAGAGAAAGAGACGAGAGAGAGAGAGAAGAGAGAGAGAGAGAGAGAGAGAGATTTAGAGAGAGATTTGAGAGCAGAGACGAGAGAGGAGAGAGAGAGAGAGAGAGAGAGAGAGAGAGAGAGAGAGAGAGAGAGAGAGAGAGAGAAGAGAGAGAGAGAGAGAGAGAGAGAGAGAGAGAGAGAGAGAAGAGTAGAGAGAAGAGAGAGAGAGAGAGAGGAGAGAGAGAGAGAGAGAGAGAGAGAGAGAGAGAAGGAGAGAGAGAGAGACAGACAGACGAGAGAGAGAGAGAGACAGAGAGAGAGAGAGAGAGAGAGAGAGAGAGAGAGAAGAGAGAGAGAGAGAGAGAGAGAGAGAGAGAGAGAGAGAGGGAGAGAGGGAGAAGAAGAGAGAGAGAGGAGAGAGAGAGAGAGAGAGAGAGGAGACGAGAGAGAGAGAGAAGAGAGAGAGAGAGAGAAGAGAAGAGAGAGAGAGAGAGAGAGAGAGAGAGAGAGAGAGAGAGAGGAGAGAGAGAAGAGAGAGAGAGAGAAGAGAGAGAGAGAGAGAGAGAGAGAGAGAGAAGAGAGAAGAGAGAGAGAGAGAGAGAGAGAGAGAGAGAGAGAGAGAGAGAGAGAGAGAGAGAGAGAGAGAGAGAGAGAGAGAGAGAGAGAGAAGAGAAGAGAGAGAGAGAGAGAGAGAGAGAGAGAGAGAAGAGAGAGAGAGAGAGAGAGAGAGACGAGACAGACAGACAGAGGAGAGAGAGAGAGAGAGAGAGAGAGAGGCTCCGTTTGGCCTGACTGCTGCTTTTTATGCCTACTAATGCCTCAACTTCGGATAGGCAAACAGCTCGTTTGATAAAAACCTATAATCCATTGCATAGTAGCCATTACGGGACAAAAAAGAGATTGATTAGGAAAAATAGAGAGACATACAAAGAGCAAGAGAAGAGAAGAGAAGAGAGAAAAATAAGTTACAGTTGCACATCCATCTATAGATCATGAGTAAATGTGAACGTCTCTCTATCATCCAGTTCATGATTATATAAAACTGCCATAATCATAATAAGAAAGGTAGTTATGATACTTCAGCATAATAATATCTTAATAACATAAAAGATAACATATACGAAGGAATGTTCGCCTAAGAATGTTTAGTAAAACTAGCGGAAGCAACTCCTCCAACTAAGGGGTGAGTGCGTGCGCTGACTGACCTGCAGGAGCGGGTGCGAGCGGTCAAGGTCAGGCGCGGTCATGAGGACGAGCACCTGCTGATGCGGGTGATGACGCGCTGCGCTCTCCACGGCGCACGCCTATAGGAGACATCGGATTGCTTTGGTTGGTGGATAGCACAAAAGAAAAAGAAAAAAATCGTCGCTTAATTCCCTTCTAATTTCTCACATCTGACAACTAAATGCTCGACGATATCGATGCTGTCGCCCCAGCTTTCAAAAGATTTATGTTGTGCATTTTTTTTTCTACCAGTTTTGCCAAGTCTGAGTGGCTCGCCAGGCTACGAACCACGCTTTCCTGTATTCAAGTAAAGAGAGATGAGTCTCGGTGAGGCTTGGCTCTCGGGTGTTTACCTCCCTTATGGAGAGAGCAGCTGCACACGACGTCTGCGTGAAGAAGATGTCTTGCGCAGAAGGAGGACGCCAGCTGAGCGTGTCCCGTGACCCTGGCTTCGTGCGATAATTAGGGCAAAGGTGTTGAATCCAGCTGGCTGCATCACCATCTGCTCCGTTCCGCACAGCTCCACCATTTCCCACCATCAGAGGAACGATCAATGTTACACTCAGGGACCACGCGCACATCAACAGGATAACATTCACCATCACTCGCCTCTCTCTGTTGATGCTCATGAAGAACATCTTGGCTTCTCTGGAGATGGAGAAGAACTGGAAGGAAACCGAGAGGAAATGTGACAAGAAACAGTAAGAAGATGTGGCTATATTGAGATCTAGAGTTGCCTGCGTGTCTTTCCAACCAGCTATTACGATTGCTGAAAAATTGGTTCTGCAAGTCTCCAGGAACAGAAGTAGTTGAAAAAAAGAAAACACGAGAGAACAAAAGTAGATGAAATTAATCTATTCACAATTATTATATTATTGGAAGAAAAAGTTGACGATCCATTGCTGTGAACATTATTTTTCCTATTTCCTGTACAGCTTCTAAATATAAACGAACGGATACGCTATGCAAGTATATTATCTCGCTCTCTTCATCTTTTCCTCTTACATCCTTGTCTATTCCCTTCCTCGCTTTCTCTGTCTTCTTCCATATTTCTCTCCCTATCTTGCTCTCCTTCTTTCCCGTCGGTTTCTCTTTACCTCCCTTTCTCTCCTTGTTGATATCTTTCTTGTGTGACCATTCTCTCTCTCTCTCTCTCTCCTCTCTTGCTCTTTGTCTGTTTGTCTCTATTTTCCTAATCTGTTTTTCCTCCGTAATAGCACCTAATTCGTTTCTATGGCAATCACTGATTACACATCGCCATTACCATGGTGATGATGGTAATAATTATCATACTCATATTTTATATAATAATGATGATGACAATAATGATAAAAATGTAAATATCAATAATAATGGTGTGAATAGCAATACCAATAGTAATTATAGTGGGTATACTGCTACTAGTAAAGATAATAATAACAATAATAATTGCAATAATAATGACATAACCTGATTTTTTAGCCATAAATCCACAGATGGTGATTGTAAGTGCCAGTAACTTTACCTCCGACACTGCGTGCATCAAACATATCCTTGTCTTCCCCCGCGAGTCCCGCCCATAACACAGTCCTCCTCCGTGCAGGCGTGTGCTGTCGAGAGCTCCTCCGCCCACCACCCACACCGGCCGGTCCTCGTGCTCCTGACCGCCCCTGACCCTGACCAAGATCACCCACTTCTCAAGGTAGGTCTATACCGGTCAAGGTCATGTTCCACGTAGGAAAAAGGGACCGGTGTAATAACAGGGTATGGTTTACGATGGAATTCACCCTCGTTTTATGTGTGGAATTCATGATGAACAGATTGCAACAGGAACAACGGAGGGAAGGGCAAGAAAACACACGAATGGGCATATTCGTGTATTTTCTTGCCCTTCCCTTCGTTGTTCCTGTTGCACTCTCGTTTATGCATTGTCTACATTTGCACAATAAAGTGTTCGTTTTATTTGATCTTCGGCTTCCTCTTAACCATTCATTTCTTTCATTGTAATTCTTTTCCAAGGTAATTGAATATATATTTTAATGAATTGCAGTCTAGACGTTTCAATAGATGGAAATGAATCAGTAGTCCCCACTGACAGGTGCTACAAGGTCTGGCTAATGTGCGGCTGCGCTGGATTTGGACCAAGTGTTTGAGGATGCGAACCTCCGGGCGTGGCACCAGACCCGCCAGTGGATGTTCAGTGAAGGTGAGCCTCAGGTGGTGGAACAAGCAGCTAGATGATAAGGAAGCGGCTAATTGGAGATTTTTTCATGTTTTCATCAATATTTTATATTCATATTTGTATCATATTTCCCAATTTCTTTATATGTAGACAAACATACACATTGTCCTCCTGGGAAGGTATGAGGACCTACATTAAACTAGCGGGTGACCAGGAAAACTTTACATTTTATCCCTGTATTAAAGAGAGTCGAGAGGATCTGGTCGAGTTTTGAGAAACCGTGATGGGGCGATACCCGCTGACGAGATGGTTACAGGATGTTTGCACAGGGAAGAGGTTTGGCGTGTCCTGATTCTTCAGAGCACTGGCCAGGGATCGAGGCCAAGCGGTGTCAATCCCGTGACCTGTGTTCACCAAGCAGTGCATCCTGACGTGAAGGAATTCTGGCACTGACTTGAAGGGTGGTCAACTAGGCTTGTTGGTGGCCACATAATAATAGCAGACAACGCTGTGGCTCCTTTACTTCATTGGGTAGTAAGAGCAGTAGATAAGTGTAGAGAGGTCTCTCATATTTACACTAAAGCTGTGAAATCCACTGCAAGCTTGGAGGAAGAATCATACCTCCAAATATGCTTGAACTTGGAGTTCTGTCTTTTGTACTGCCGAAGGTAATTTACTTCTGAATCTAATTGTTTATTGCTGCCTGTCATCTGATGCTGTACCTCATTGCTGTCTGCTGAGCCAACCTTTAACATTCCTTTACTGCGTGTCTTCTACGCCTTCGTCATCCCTTTCACTACACACTGATGCCAACGTCACGGTACAACCCAAATAATTCTTTTGTGGGATTTGCTTCACCTCTTTGGAGCTACATATTGTATTAGTCTACTTACCAACATGCAGAAAATCGAGTCACATATTATAAACTCAAACAGAGCCAAAAGCAGGGATGTTTCTACGGTTGCAAGGGTAAGGAAGTAAAACCAACAGCCAAGGGTTGAACACTTAAGATGACTAGCGCTGTTGCAAAGAAGCTCACTAAAATATAGGCGGCTCTTGTGTATACTGTGTCTCATTTGGTATAGTCTCTGCTACCACTATCTTGTCCATTTCTATATATTTTTGTTGTAGTTTTCTCTGTCCCATGCCGTCTTTCTCAGCACTGTACAGGATCACATGTATGTAGAGGTTTCCTTTCTGCCGCTGAGTGGAACCATATAGTCATATGTTTCTTCTCTGTGTCTTTTCCATGTCGTTCGCTGCTGTGGATATTTTGCGTCCGTGTGTGGTGCTCCTTATCCTGCCGTTGCCTTCGAAGACAGACAGACAGATACACACACACACACACACACACACACACACGTTCAGCAGTTTATGCAAAAAAATCACCGAACAATGATCCGCAAAAGAAGACAAAGAACAGAAATGATACGTTAACCAACAGATACATACATAAGAACGGAGATATAAATGCGCTTTCCGTTCTTCCTTCTCCAGGCCGCACGTTCGCCGAGGTGGGCGACGCGACGAGGGCGGAATTGCTGCGCCGTTTTGGGGGAACTTACGTGGACCTCGACGCCATAACGCTGCGCCCTTTGCCCAGCCTGAACAACTGGCTAGGTCGAGTGGACGATACGCTTCTTATCAACACCGCAGTTGTGAGCTTCGTTCCCGGCCATCCGATCCTCCAGGTGATTGATTTTGAAGACGTTGGGTGATTTGTTTTATTGAAAGACATTTCACTGCTTTCCTGCGGTTGTGTTCTTGGTGGAGTCGTATGTGGAAGATGATTATTGTGCACGTGCGTGTTGGGTTATTGCATTAACGTATGTGATAGGGATGCATATACCGTGTGCGTGTGTGTGTGTGTGTGTGTGTGTGTGTGTGTGTGTGTGTGTGTGTGTTTCCCGTGTGTTTGTGTGTGAGTGTATGCTTGGATGTTATGAATGTAAGGACTTGGACATATTCTCTCCAGGTAACATCCGGGACTACCGTGACTCAACGCACACATGCACGAACGCGAATATGGTCTATTAAACTTCCCTATCACACTATTCCCAGTGGCTTGTTTGGCCAAGTTCTGTCCCAGCTCTACCACTGTGCTATGTGTGCGCTATGTGTGTGCGCTTGTGTGTGTGTATGTGTGTGCGCGTATATGTGTGTGTGTGTGCGCGTGTGTGTGTCGCGTATATGTTTGTGTGTGTATGTGTGTGCGCGTATATGTTTGTGTGTGTGTGTGTGTGTGTGAACATAAGTATACATGTGGTCGGGTGGTTTAGTTCTGCTCCTTCTGGGTGCTAGAAAGAATGAGTCCTGGTCTTTGTCGCGAAGGGCATTTACATTTTTTATATTATACTATATTATATATTATATTATATTATATTATATTATATTTATATTATATTATATTATATTTTTATATTTTGTATATTATACGCATACAAACTAACTCGGTAACCTGACCTTATATTTGGATTTGTACGTCACTTCCGGTGAATGCCCGCAAGGATTGTCTGGAATACCTCACCATCATATATATATAATACCCATGAAGCTTGTGTACGTCCTGGCGTGGCAATCCTTTCAGGTCAATCGCAAGGTCGATAATTTGGTTCTGTTTGCTGGAGGTGTCACCAGGAGAGTGTAAGATCGAATCCTTTTCAGAAAGGCATTTGTATCGTCCTATTTTTTTCCCATGAGTATATCCATGTCACCGTAATTAATGGAAACCCGCCTACGTTTTTCATGTATCCCATTCTTATTTTTCTTTTATCAATACCTTTCTCTTGGATGGGTTCCTCGCAGGATGTAGTGCGCTCCATCCCCGACTCCTTCAAACCCCACGACTGTTGCAGCATCGGGCCCGTCCTCTTCACACGCATCCTACACCAGAGCTGCCCCAAGAACGTCACCACCCCCTCCTCCGCCCATCCCGACGAGGCCGAGCACTGCAACGACGTCACGATTTTCCCCAAGTCCTACTTCTACCCCATCCACTACGGGTACAGGAAGGACCAGCTGGAGAGCATCTTCAGGGAGGGCGAGGGGCTGGGGCGGGCGTTCCTCTCCAGCACGCAAGCCTTCTCGCTGCACCTCTTCCACTCTGTCTCAGAGAAAGCTGTAGTGTCTCTCTCCGGTGACTCCATCTTGAAGGAAGTGGCCCAAAGAAATTGCCCCAAAGTCTTTCGAGTTTTACAGGACCATAATCTGGCATTGTAGTGTGATTGCAATCGGTGTATGATGTTACTGTACCTGTATATAGCAATGAGGGGGTGGTCTGTGTGCTTGGTAAGAGTGTGAATTGTGGCTTAGTTCTGTTCCATCGTGATGTCAGGCGTTTAGTTTTGGTATCATTCATATACGGCCTCTTTAGAGTAAGGATAACAGTGAGAGTATATGAAGGCATTCGATTTAATTTTCTACCGTAGCAACGCGGAGTGACCGCCGTTCAGTCAGGTTCACCGGACCGCGCGAATTCGCCGCACCCGACTTCACCGACATCGCAGCGGCCGCCGAGCTTCGTCATCGTCGTCGGTCAGGATCTCGTACGCATAAGCAGGTTCGAATCATCAGTACGATGCTATTCTGATATCTTTTTTTATTACAATTTCTTTCTACTTTGTTCATGAAGAAAAATATGATACAGGAAAACCTTTACTGACATGGATAACTATCCCCTGAATATAGTGTCAGTTCTAACCTTTGTCTGCTGCCCGCGGTCATCTTGCGCAGACGACCAGCTAAACCAAGCAACTCCTATTGGAATATTTGTCTTCTTTCCTCTTCACTCGATCTCGTCCATTGCACCACGCACTTCTTCCATGTTTGTATAGAATTACAAATACATGCCGTTGTTATCTATGTGCTTGTAGCTTTAAGCAATCCATGTCATTGTATTCTATGTCCATGGAACCAAGTTGGATCAGTTAAGCCGTTACCTGAACCAACCAACACCGGTAGCAATGGCAGATAGATACACACCGTCTCCTATTCCCTGTTCGATCTCTTTCCTCTAGTAACTGTGTCTTCCCTGCATCGTGGGGAAGAGTGAGAGATATAATTGTCCTCAATAACAATGATATTAAAAAAAGTATGTCTCATACTCTATATACCAAATGTAATATTGTTTAAACCGAATGCATTTTATTTCCCTACGGGTGACAACTAAATTAAATCCTACTGAACACACACACACACACACAACACACACACACACACACACAACACACACACACACACACACACACACACACACACACACACACACAACACACACACACACACACACACACACACACACACACACACACAACACACACACACACACACACACACACACACATATATATATATATATATATATATATATATATATATATATATATATATATATATATACATACATATATATATATATATATATATATATATATATATATATATATATATATTATATATATATATATATGTGTGTGTGTGTGTGTGTGTGTGTGTGTGTGTGTGTGTGTGTGTGTGTGTGTGTGTGTGTGTGTGTGCGTGTATATATATGCGTATATATACACACATATAGATATATACATATACATACATATATGTATATGTAAATATATATATATATATATATATATATATATATATATATATATATATATATATATATATGTGTGTGTGTGTGTGTGTGTGTGTGTGTGTGTGTGTGTGTGTGTGTGTGTGTGTGCGTGTATATATATGCGTATATATACACACATATGATATATACATATGAACATATATATATATCTCTCTCTCTCTCTCTATATATATATATATATATATATATATATATATATATATATATATATATATGCACACACACACACACACACACACACACACACACACACACACACACACACACACACACACACACACACACACACACACACACACACACACACACACACACACACACACACACACACAAGCTTTTAAAGTGCTATGACCTTTTATAACTCAGGTGATAACATTCGAGTTATATCCATAAATAATACAAACTAAATTAGTGTTCCATCTTTTAATGCTAAAACTGAGCTGCATAGGTTATACATTCATAGAAAACGGTCCACATTGTGATAATTTAGAAAACAATATAGTCCCCGCTATAAGATTTCTGTTTTCTTCTATGACAATCGTATTTAGAAAACGAAATATTAAGGGTAAACTAAAATGTAAAGATATAAATTATATAGGAGTGAGTGGGGGATACTTTGGATGCTGTAAATGATTAGGCTATTTATATAAAAGATACAAATACACACACACAAAAACACGCTCATACAGACACACATACACCAGTATGGAAAGTACAGCAGATGCACACACGAGAGTTTCTGGTTGCACATTTGAGTGATTTACGGTAGTCAACGATCAAAATGATTATGTAACATCGGTATGGAACGAGGGAATTACTAATAGTTTAAAGGACTTTCAAACATTTTGTTAAATGAAAAGCTTCAGGATGTGCACTCGTAAAGTGTACCGTATCCGTTGCATACAGCGCACTTCATTTTTTTTCGTGTACACCCGAGATCTCGTCGAAAAGTACCGTACTTACCAACTGGCAAATACATACACACGGACACGCGCGCGCACACACACACACAAACACGCACCCACACCCACACAAAACAGAACTGAAAAGGGCGCTATCAGGTAAAGAAAGGGATTCAAATACACTGGAGAGGCGAAGAGAGAATCGATAACTGAAAGAAACAACATACAGGCAATTAAAAGAATAAGAGGAAGAGGGAGAGCGAAAATTAGACAGACGCTAGAATACGTAGATTCTCGTTATGAATGTACCATAATATAATCATGTGACATATGTAATCTAATTCAAGTCAGTATTGAATAATCTAATTCACTCTGGCTTAAAATATCATAATATAATCACGTTCGTATCAACTTACTTATGAAAGGTAAAACAGGTGATATAAAAAAATATAAAAAATTACGTGGATAACAATAACAATATCAGCAATAATGGTGATGTTAATGCTACCTACAGTGATAATGATACAGAGGATAATAGAGTGAAAATGACGATAAATGATATAAAAAGAAGATTGATATCAGTAGTGATAAGGTAATTTTGATATGACTGTCAATGACAAAGACAACGGTGAAATAACGTCGGTGAAACAGGTTATTTAATCATGATAATAACATTAGAAATTACGATGAAATCAACAACAACAATAATGCCATTATGCATAAAGCGGTGACATCAAAATGATAGTGATTATGAAATTAGCAAGAATAGGAATAACACTATTACTAATAACAACGATGATGACAATAATAGAGTATAGATTATGGTGAAAATATATAGTGAAATAAGAACACTACCTAAACATGAGGTAAAACCATACTAATTATAATGAATAAAAGTGATAATCATAATACTAATGATTATAACAAAACCGATAATTGTAATAATGGCAAGATAGTAAAAGATAATCTTGACAATATGCCTAGTAATAGTTACAACCACAAAAGTAATAATACCAGTTATATAGAAAAAATAGTGATTATGACAGCAATGAAGAAAATGCTAGAATTAGCGGCAGTAATACAGATAATATTATCAATGACCATAATGGTTTAAGTTGCAGTGACAATGATAATGATAACTGTAGAGATGATATTGCAATACTGACGATAGATATGATGATAATGGTAATATATGTGCCCTTATTACGATTACTCATGTTGCTGACAATAATAATAATGTCATTACTATCACTACTACCACCCACACCACCACCACTACCACTACTACAAGTACTATTGCTATCTTTCTATGATAATGACAATGCTATTAATATGAACATCAACGATAATGATAGAGATAACAGCAACAACAGGAACACTATTGGTTAAAAATATAATCGTAATGATAATAGTGATTATAAGTACAACAACAATGATGATGATAGTGGTGGTGATAATAACGACAATGCAAGCAGTAATTGAACTATGAATAGGAAATGATATCAGTATCAATACTAATTATCATTAAATTAATAATGGAATCAAGGACTGTGATAATGATAACGATAATGCTCATACTAATGGTAACGGCAGCCAACAAGGATGATAAAGACTATGATAATAAAGATACTGATACTGACAATAAACAAGATAATGATGTCAACAATCAGTTCATTCATTTTTTTTTTTACACGGGACTATGTACTACGGACACGAACAACACTGTAAGGAATATGAATGAACTTCCGGCGTGACAAGATCATCATAGGGAACCTGAATGGCCGTGTTAAGACTACAACACAAAGGGTGTACTGTTTCATTATTGTCGAAAGTTAAATATAAGGGAAACTCAAGGTGCACCTTTCTAGAAGAAGCAACATGGCTTCAATGAACGTTTGAACCGACATTAAGAATCACATACCAACATATGTTGCGCATATAATCATAAGACAAAACATCAGAAGTGTCAAACTGATTTCATGCTAAGCAAGAAAAGTCGCTTTCCTCATGACCTCCAGATGCTAGTCGTATCGTATTGAAATGGAAATAAAACAGAAAATCAAGGAAGGTTTGAAGAAAAGGCGCAAAACTCAGTAAAAGGGTGAAAGAGGGCTGGAGGATATCCAAGGAAACTACAAGCAGCATTCAGGAAGAGGAATTTCGTTGGTGAGGAAAGGCACAAGGAAGAGAAGTGAATGGAGGAACTACTAGCGAAGGAAAGGCAATAGCATTCCAACTAATGTTTCAGGAAAGAACAAGAAAACCAAAAGATGACTGCCAGAAAGGGAAATTCGGTAACTGCAGTTAAAAAACAAAATATAAAGGCTTGTAGGGAAAGAAATGTAGAATAGAAAAAGAAACAGATAGAATAGAGAGGACTTAGAGGATTCTTAGGGCCTGAACAACTAATTAAGATGGTGGAGGAATATAAGATAAGCAGCATAAAACAGGAATGGAAACGATAATTAAAAAAAAAAAAAAAAACATTCCTTCAACACCGGGCCAAATTCTTCCTAAGATTACTCATTTCATGTTAAGGGACAAAGCAGACAATAATATCTGAAGAATTTTGGAAAAAAACGCCTAATATTCCAGCTGCTGCTGAAAGAGTCAAGAATGCTATTGCAAACACCAAGAATAATAAATCAAATGGATGTGACAAACTCGTAATAGGGATCTGTAAAAGCCAAGGGCGGTGCATAGTTACTTTGCTCTGTCTTCTTATTTACAGTACAGATAGTAAGCAAAGAATGGAATGTGGTAGACGCATAATATAACCAATATTTATTAAAAAGATCCTTCAGGGTTGAGGGACTTTAGGAGAAGGACACTAATGAGCCACGTGGAAAAAAATATCAAAGGATACTAGATAGGAGGATCAGTATAAGAGAAAAAGGGAAGTATAAGACTGTCAAGGTGGATTCCTACCTGAAGAGCACAGCAGACCATATCATCAACCATTAGTCATGGATATATAAAATTGCAAATTAGGGCTCCATCGGCCTAGAAAAAAAAGATTTAATGTTCCAGAGCCAAGGAGTCGTAGAGAAAATCGGGATCTGATAAGGTCAGACACAACACAAACAGTAAGTACCGTAAGTGGATGATAGACAATGTATGGAATAGGTAATGGGTAAGCAATGTATGCAAAGAAAAAAAATGGGTCAAACACACAGCATAGGGACAAGTACTATGCTCTCAGTGGGATTTAGTGTTATTGTGGTGTAAATAAAAGCTTCTGTCAGCTTGCTTCTTTAATGTGAAAAGGTTCATGAAAGGTGAAGCTACGGAAGTACTACCAAACAGCACGAGGGCGACCAGACAACTCTCAGTCTTTCACAGACAGTTGCCGACACCTTCGCCCATCCCATCCGAAACTAACTATTCGGCAATTTAGGACTAGTTAGCAACTGTAAATGAGCATGCCAGTGGCATGGCACACATAATGGCGTATACCACAGGGTATATGCGGGAAAAATCATAACACATGTCCTCAGCTCAGCAGTCTTCATGTTCCACGTGATAGCCAGATTAACGCCCGGGATAGC